TGGTGGAAGGATTTTGTTTCTGAAATGTGTTAAACACAATGAACAAAGTAGCTGTTGCAATCTCAAAACAGGAATTGGCATACACTGTCATATACAGTATGTGCATTTTTTTTTTAAAGAAAACTGAGCTACTGCCAGTGGGAGCAACAGTGTAAAGATAATTTTACTCAGCAAGTGAGTAAAACTTTTAATTTTATTTTATAAATTAAAAAGTCAGTAAACATTTTTTTTAATTATATTTTTATTGTTTTTTATTTTATTGAAGATTTTACTGATGTGAAATAGTGAAACATACTGTAATCTTAACAAACAGGTTTGGAGCAGTGTTATTTTTGTTTTATTTATATACTTGTATAATTATGTATTATGTATATTTAAATTTTTTATATTTTGAATTAGTTTTAATTTTATGTTTTCAGTTTTATTTTAATTTTTGTTAAGGTTTTTTTTTTTAGTAATTTTGTTATGAATAAATATTTCTAATATTATTATATTTATTTTTATTTCAGTTAGTAATTTTACTACAACTCAAACTTTTTTCAAGCTGGTAGCTGGCAAGGCAACATTTAAATGTTTATGAATTTTTTTTAGAGATTTATATTTTATTTATTCTTCAAAAATGTATTTTATTTAACTCAAACAGTAAAGCACGACACTAGCAATGTCAGTGTCATGGGTTTGATTCACAGGGAAAGCAAGTCTTGATAAAATGTGTGCCTTGAATGCAGTGCTGCTTTGGATAAAAGCATCTGCCACATGCATAAATGTAAAATACTTGTATGCCTATTACCTACATAAAAAATTGCTTCCTGGGGACAATACCAAGATGGCCGCTGAGTGAACTGAAAGGGACTAACTGATCTGGTGTAATAGTATTGACAGATTACTGAAGTTTGTTACCGCCTCAGTAATGCAAGAATGCATGTACGTACAATAGTAGTGCACACTTATAATGTATTAGCACTGATGTTTGCATACTTGATTTTCTGGCCTTAGACTGCACATATGTGTTTCCATGAGCATGCACGTGTGTGTCTCATCTTGTGTGTAAGTGACAGACTCATGAAAATCATCTTAAGCCAGGGAATCTGCTGAAAGCTCAGTGCCTGACTCTCCCGCGTCCCAGCTCTCATTCCTGAAGTCCCAGGACAGGAAGCAGAGCGGGCTGCAGGCCTCAGAGAGTGTCTGGGTTTGGGCAGATGGGAGCTGGAGTTTGGCTGAGGGCCAGAGAGCTCCGGTGAGCGGAGAGAAACGAAACAGCATATGAGCTCAGGGATGCATATTCCACACAGCAAGGTGACCATCAGCTTTTGTCAATTCAGTTTTAGTAATAATAATGTTCATTTGTAATATTTACCGATAATTTTGGTAAAATTAAAAAAAAAAACTTTTAGTCTCTTTTTTAATTATAGGATGGGTAATAAGGAACAAGTATTTTCAACACTGATAAAAATAAGATTTTTTTTTTTTAATATTAGAATGATTTCTAAAGGATCATGTGACACTGAAGACTGGAGGAATGCAGTTTTGCCATCACAGGAATAAATTACATTTTAAAATATATTAAAATAGAACACAGTTATTTAAAATTGTAATAATACAGTATTTCACAAAATTACAGTTTTTACTGTATTTTTCATCAAATAAATGCAGCCTTGATGAGCATAAGAGAGTAGTGTACATGTGTAAAAATACAGTTTTAAATTCAGTATTTCTGAAAACAATTATGAAACAATCAGTTTACATTCATTTATTAAAATATGGCCGTTATGATGCAATCTAGTGATGCTGTGACATCATCAGCTTTATAAAAATGTATGATTCTTCCATTTAGAGGTCGGCGGTTTTACAGGTTTTAAAGTTCCCATAAACTCTTCTCCGAAAGTCTGAGGAAAATAAAAATTTCATGGTGAGGTGGTGTGCCATTTAAAAGATTAGAAGGATTTGTTTCGGATAAGAGCCTGGATCTACCTGTCTCATTGCTACGCCTGAAGATATTTTTAGCAGTTAAGTCTTTCTCCTGTTTGGATTTCCGTAGCTTGCTAATGTAGAGAAGACTGTGGCAAATATTCCAAGATTCAGATGGAGCGAAATGTGCTGTGCACTGAGTGGGAAAGTGTTGTTTTGACACGGAAAGTACAGCGTATACTTCATTAAGCGCTAATATTGTTTTGTGAGTTTGTGCGTCGGTCTGAAAGGTAATAAACTTTTGCTTCATGCAGCATGTGCGTTTGTTTTGTTCTCAGTGTGTATATATATAAGCTTACTGTGTCTGCATGGTGGTTCATAGTCCTCTTGTTGTGTCTAGCGCGGCCTCCTGTGTCAGCTGCACACTGGTTTAATGTGAAGTTTAAGCCTCTCGTGACGCCAACTAGAGTCTAGTTACACTAGTGGGAATACCTGCTATTGTCCACTAAATCCCTTCTAATTCCCAGGAATTCTGCTTTCATTCCACTCAACCTCCTTGGTGCTGTCACACTTCCATAAGTTACTATAAGTGATCTTAAAGAGACTTTCCACCATGATGCCTTTTAATGCTATTGATAGTTTTTGAAAGATAGAACTCAACATGTTAGGCCGTGTGGTTTTAAATCTAACAATATTATTGTGAATTCAGGGGTTCCACAGGGCTGTGTGTTATCGCCTATTTTATTTTCTGTATATATGAACGAAATCAGGTGTGATATCAATGGTCACTTTTGAAATATGCTGATGACATGGCCTTGGTGGTTTGTATGAGTGATGAGCAATCCGTGGTTACTTATAGGCAATTTGTTGATTCTATGGTCCTCCGTTTCCTAGAGAGTTTGCTGCAGTTAAATATAAGTAAGACTAAAGAGTTGTGTTGTGGGAGGTTTTGTTCATTTAACACTGATCATCCTTTATCTGAACCACTTAAGCTGGGGGGGCAGGTAGTGGAGCAGGTTGAGACCTTTTCATTTTTGGGCACTGAGATTTGGGCACTGATAAGTGTAGCGAATCAGCTCATAAGGGAAATATGAATAATTAATCATGGGCCCTGTTCACAGACAACTTGGCACCCAGTATGTTTATTGGGTGAGGGGTCTGTGAACGTTTGTTAATCTAATGAATAATTGATTTGTTAAATCAAATGAAAAATTGTGTTTTTGATTGGTCCAGACGCTACATAAGCATCTA